ATAGCGGTTACTGAGATATTTTGGTGAAACAGCAGTCTTCTCGTCAGGAAATAAGTAAAAATTGGATGAGCAGGCAAAAGTTCTTCTCTGGTCAAAAATAGGTTCTTTTAGGTGGACAAAAAGGTTTTCAAAAATAAGTTCTTCAAAAGCAGTCTTCAAAGGCAGAGTGTTTTTTTCTCAAGTAGTTTTTCCAAGAGGTTTTCAGAGTAGATTTTTTTCTTTCAAGAGCGGGTTTTTTTTTTTTTTTAAGAGGTTTTTTTTTTTTTTTTTTTAATTTAAGAGTAGGGTCTGCATATACTGTATATATTGGAAAGACCCATTGTTCTCTAGGTCCACCCATGATGTAGGCTGATTGAACGGCCAGAATGCCATTGATTCTGGAGGTTCTCTACCTGTCCACTAGGGGCAGTCAAGTTCCATGAATGAAATTGTGACCACTTGTTATGAGTCATCTTCAAGCTGATGGTATGACTTTATTGATAAATTTATATGTCCTGCTGAAATATGAAAGTGGCTCTTATCAATATCTCTTTATATCATGTCCATTATGTTTAATTTAGTTTCGTGGCTCATCTTCCCATATATGGGAATTTTTATTTTGCTGTCCATTGTTCTGAGAATGGTAAATATTAAGATAATATTCCCATAATTTGTTATGGCATTCTATCAGCTATTGCTTGCTTGTTACTTCAGTCCATCATGTCAGATATTTCATATCTTTCCACATTCTGATGTAGGCACGTATGTTGGTAATCATTTGCTTTAAAATCTCAGATATAGTCTACCCAAATCACAATCCATCTCATATGTCATTATGACTTGATCATATCCAGTTTATGCTTTTGCATGTTTTTCTTTTGTAGTTGCCAACTTTATTAAATTGATTTCGGTGTCATGATATATATATAGTATTATGAACATGTCAGCTGTTTACTTTTAAATCCAGTTTTGCAATTGGGTTTCAAGGTTCACGGCCTGGGTGAGCACCTTGGAAGTGTATGCTTAGCTTTCTGTTGTCTGTGTCCCATTGGTAAACATTTAGTTGACTTTTCATAAGATGTATGACTCTGTTCAATGATAGGTGTCTCTATTCCCGCCATAGACTGATGTCCTTCTTGTGAATGAACCTCCATTTAAGGCTTTACTTAGTAAATACAGTTTATTTGGTAAGGATATTATGTTCAAGGCTTCCTGTTGTCTCAGCCTGTATTCTCGTCATTCATATGTTAAGAGATGTGTCTTCTACAATTACCATTTACGACGTTTTGGTCCATTTCAGTTAAGCTAAATTCAAGTGTTGTGTGACTCTATTGTATGTTTAAACAAGAATCTGCATTCAGTAACTTATTGTGAAATGGTGTTTGATACCGGGCAAACACATGGTTCTTGCAAAGTTGCTGACATTTCATAATTAGTTTAATTGAAAAGTATTTCTTTAATAATTTATGAATCAAAATCACTACACTACAGTAGCAAAACTTTGCATACACCTGTATGTTTGGCTTGTGTTTACAAGAGCATAATGTCTATGGATGGCCATATATGGAGCATTTGTTCTTTTTGGATTCAGGAAACATGCTGGAACTTACATTGCAAGGATTCAGGCACCCGTGCCCAAGAGACCTAACATCGAAAAGCTTTGTGGTTGATGTAATAACTGTTTAGTGTAATTTCCTTTACAAACGTTAATTCTCTTTGTAGAAGGAAATCATGGAATCATGGAACTAATGCCTCATTCTAACATTATATAGTGATCTTCCCTCATCAAAAACACCCCTTAAAAATGTATTCTACAAAAACCTGACCAAACTTTTAAGGGAAGCCCATAAGTGTATGGTCAGAGTTAAACTCATATTCCTATGCACTAAACTTAAAAAGGAAAAACAAAAGTCACTTAACAATCTAATCACCAGTGTCTTGAAACTGGAAGTCTTGCACAAAAGATCTCTAGATCAAGCAGTGGCTCGAGAAGCTGTTGAAATAGATCCTAGACACTGCTATGAAATGCAACATTTTCTTGAAAACTAAATTATTTTATGACATGAGTGATAGGTGTAAAGTTCTGGGATAGAACCCTTGAAGAAATGTTCGAAGTATCTAAAAGTTACTCACTTTTAGATACTTTAGTAGACAGATCAACTTTCTTTCACAAAGGAGAAGGTATATCTTTTACAGAGAAGGAATCAGAAAAGGAATTAAAATTACTCCTATTCCAAATAAAACCAGGAAAATGCTAAGTTCCAGATGGGTTCAGAGTCAAGTGTTGCAACCAATCACCTAAAACCATTAAAAAGTAGTAGAGCCTCCAAATTCCACCCTCCACCATCATTCCCTCAGGCTCACATTGAATAAAAATTAGCCTTTTTGGTCTAAACTCAAGGTTATTCAGGCAATCGGACGAACAACCAACCATTTGAGAGCTGAAACATCATGTTTTAGGTTAAATATATTTTTATTATCAAAGTAGGCAAACATGTCGCAATCAGTCAAAAATCAGTGAATGAAAATATATGAACGTGTCTGCAAGCACAATCTTAAAAAGAGAGTAAATATCATAAATTCCAAAAAAAATAGTTTACAGAATTATTCCAGGCAGTAAGTTGCATGTAAATAGCACAATATTTTTAAGAGCGTCAATAGTGAGACCAAATTTGCCAAAAACATTATAAGTAAGAGTTTATAAAAATATGTATACTCCAAAGAAAAACAGATAAAGAGAAGGAGGTGGGAAGGAGTAAAGGGTCAGGGAAGCTTTGGGTACAGTACACTAAGTCATTGAGGGAGAGTAAAGTCCAAACAGTCCAAAATTATATTGCCTAAAGGTGGAAGGCGGAGCAAAACTACATGAGAAAGAATCAGGAAATAGTGGATATATTTTCTGAGGCCACCAAGGATGTCATTTTATCAGAGGTAGAATAGTGTTCCCATATCAACCACAGGGAATTCCTCCCATGTATAATTTTCCTGAGCCACCAGTTCCTCTATCCCCATAATATCATTAACTATGTAAATCCAATGAATGATGGAGGGAAAAGGGTATTTCCATAAAGAGACAATCAATTTTCGCGCTGCAGATAAAAAGAAGCTTGCTTTTTGGGATTTATAAGAACCCGGTAAGATGGACAAAAGTGCAATGTCAGGTGACAGAGAGAGACTCATCATAAATCCCATATATATAGAAAAAAACTTAAGCCAAAATGGGTAGACTGCTCTGCATCCCCACCAGATGTATATGTTCCCTCTCTCCTCTGCACATCTGCAGCAGGTGTCTTATGACATTGGGAACATCCTGTGGACTGATAATGGATCCCTGTACCATCTAGAAATTATTTTTTTTGTGGGTATAGCAGGAAATAGAAGATTTATGTGTATATTGAAAATCTCTTTACCATTCCTCCATGGTGATCTCACAGCCCAAATCCCTAGCCCATAATTTGGTAAAATCAGGTAAGATGTTTTGGAAAGGACACATAATAGGCACTAGATGAGGGGCAACTGTTTTATAAAAACGGGGTGTAAAGCCGTCCATTCCAGGATATTTCCCACTCTTCAATCCTGTAGTGGTGGCAAGGAATTCCATTTCCATGAAGGGGAAATCCAAATCATCAGACCCGTGGTAAAGCTGAATCATTAATATAATCCCGCATAGAGGTAAGATAAGAAAGGAAGGTAGAGGGTCCCCGGCATGGACAAATATATAGTTTTGAATAATAATTACGGAATTCCTCTGCTATTTCAGAATCTCTTTATTTTTTGGAGCCTGAAGTGGAAGTGAGGAAAAAAACTTTCTGTTTTTGAGTTCGAGGGTGCATTGTACATGCTAGAGGGTGGCCACACTTGTTAGCCGAGAAATAAAATTTGCTCTTCATCTTGTCATGAGCAATCAGAGACTTAGCTTCAAGGATGTGTAGAACATCATGCCTAGCATTCAAAAGAGAAAACAGAGTGGTCTTGTCCAGCGTTCATTTATGGGAGGCTTCTAGAGTGGAGATAAGAGTTAGCATTTGTGTATCTCTAATGTACGGTCTCGTTTTAAACAAGTCCCGTGCTGTATGAATACCCCGGATAAAATGCATTTCAATGCCTACCACTTAATATGTGGGTGAGTGTCATCTGAGGCATGAGTAATGCTAAACTCCCAAATTGCTTGAAAAACCGCAGCTATGCATGTGTATTGCCTTAACACATTGTCATTCAATCTCCACGTCCCGTCTCATACTCACACCCAGGCTGCCCAGGCACAGGTGTATGGGGGACGCACTTGGCATCCTGGAAAAGAAGTGGGCGGGGAGAGAGGTGGGCATGCATCCAGCCGCACTGCTTTCCCTACATACAGCTGCACTGCAGTACCTTGCTGGCTTTCATGTGCAGGAGGTGGGTCTGAGACTTGCCTCCTGCACATGAAGCTGGCAAGGTGCTGGGGCCGCATTTAGGGAAAGCAGTACAGCTGGTGATCTCTGCATGTCCACTCCTATTCCCACGCACTGAGACCTGCCTCCCACGCATGAAAGCCAGCAAGTTGCTGCATATAGGGAAAACAGTGCGGCTGGTGCATGGCCATCTCTTTTCCCGCTGGATGCTGGTGAAAGCTGAGCTATTCTTCTTAATCTGCGCAGTGGAGAGGTTGGACTGGATGCCCCAGGACCAGAGAGTGCTACGTTTGTTAACTAGTTGCCGACCGCAGATAGCCGAATGACGGCTGCACTGCGGCCGGCCAGTTCTGAGTGGACGTCATATGACGTCCTCCCAGAACGCGCTCTCCTGCGCGCCCCAGGGGGCGCGCACCTGGCGATCTCCGTGATCGCTGTGTCCTACGGACACAGCTGATCACGTGATGTGGTAAAAGGCCAATCACAGCGGCCTTTTACCACATGATCAGCGGTGTCCAATGACACGCTGATCAGAGGGAAATGCAAGTGCCGGTTCTCGGCTGCACTTTCCTCACGCTGTCAGATCGTGAGGAAAGTACTGCCGAGAACCGGCAGTTGTCAGAGCGGGGATCGGCACTGATCATCAGGGCACTGATGATCAGTGCCCTGATGATCGGTGCCCAGCAGTGCCACCCGCAAGTTCCGCCCACCTGTGCCCAGCAGTGCGCCCACTAGCTCCGCCCACCTGTGCTCAGCAGATCACCCACCTGTGCCCAGCAGTGCACCCACCTGTGCCCAGCAGTGCACCCACCTGTGCCACTCTGCAGTGTCCCACACCTGTACCCAGAAGTGCCACCTACCTGTGCCCAGCAGTGCCACCCACCTGTGCCCACCCACCTGTGCCCACCAGTGCCACCCACCTGTGCCCACCCACCAGTGCTGCCCACCAGTGCCACCCACCAGTGCAGCCCAGCAGTGCTGCCAGTCAGTGCCCAGTCAGTGCCCAGGGGTTGTGCCAGTCAGTGCCGCCAGTCAGTGCCCAGCAGTGATGCCAGTCAGTGCCGTCTATCAGTACCCATCATCAGTGTCACCTATCAGTGCCGCCTATCAGTGCTGCATATTAGTGCCGCCTATCCGTGACACCTCATTAGTGCTGTCTATCAGTGCCGCCTATCCGTGCCACTTCATTAGTACTGCCTATCAGTGCCCTTTAGTGCTGCCTATCAGTGGCCATCAGTGCCGCCTATCAGTGCCCATCAGTGCTGCCTCATCAACGCACATCAGTGAAGGAGAAAAAAATACCTGTCTGAAAAATTTTATAATAGAAACAAAGAAACTTTTTTTTTTTTTTCAAATTTTTTTGCACTTTTTTTATTTATAGCGCAAAAAAGTAAAGCGCCCAGTGGCGATTAAATACCACCAAAATAAATCTCTATTTGTGAGAAAAAAATGATCAAAATTTCATATGGGTACAATGTTGCATGACTGTGCAATTGCCAATCAAAGTGCGGCAGCGCTGAAAGCTGAAAATTGGCCTGGTAAATAAGGGGGTATAAGTGCCTGGTAGGCAAGTGGTTAATGGTAAATCATTTTATTTTCCCCTCTGTGACTACAGCAGTCTTCTAATCAGCCAGATCATGGCCAGGCTTTTCTAATCAGTGTGCACCTGTTGCCTCTGGGCACTCCTCTCCCTCAGCAGCCATGCCTGGCTCAAGCTGAAGAGGAGACTGTCTCCGTTCAACCCAGAAAAGTTGACTGTGGATGTACTGTATTTAGCAAGGAAGTGTTTAGCAGGCTTTGTATACACCACTAAAAGTAGTCCTCAAAAAGCCAGTTATAAAATAATACTCCTTTATAACTGGCTCTGAGCATACGCAAATATGCGGTCTCTCAGCGGCTGGACCTTGATGCCGAGTGGCCGCATATTTGCATGCCACTTGAAAATACATGTGCTGAGAGCGCACGCCCTGCGTGCTCCCAGCACTTATGTCCGTGTCTCACGGAAAGGTCCGGATCTCCCCTTGCAATCGGACCTTTTCTGATCACATGACCCTAAAACCCCACCCTGCCTCCCGGCATCTGAAAGCCCTTAAAGGGCCAGGAGTTGCCAGCGCAAAGGGGTTAATAACTTGCTTTGTAGTACTGACAGAACACTTAAAAAGCATTACTCACAGAGCCAGTTATAAAGAAGTTTTGCTTAATAACTGGCTTTGTGAGTAATCCTTAAAAAACTGGCTTTGTGAGTAATGTTTAATATTTAGCTTTCCAGTAGTCACAAAGCCAGTTATGAAGGATTACCCACAAGGCCAGTTATTCAGCAAAAGTACTTTATAACTGGTTCACTGGGAGTAATGCTTAATAACTGTCTTTGTGACTACTGAAAAGCTAAATATTAAACATTACTCACAAAGCCAGATACTAAGCATTGCTCGCAAAGCCAGTTTTAAAGGATTACTCATAAAACCAGCTATTAAGAAAAACTCCTATCTGGCTTTGTTTGTAATACTTTATAACTGGCTTTGCAGTATTCACAAAGCCAGTTACTAAGCAGTACACACAAAGCCAGTTATAAAGCATTATGTATAAAAAGTGCAGCGCTAGTGGTAAGGTAAGAAGAGTGAAAAAATATATATTGATATGTTCATAAAAGTCACAAATGAAGAACATAAAATCCGTATCAGATCCTCCCTTGTAGTGAAGGACTTGTGTCTGGAAACAATTATAGAAATGCGCACTCACCGGAAGCGCATTACGTAATGCTCATATAAATGTGTCCACAGTAGACCACTAAGGCAGGCGGGGTATGGCAGGTAACTGGGGAGCTTCCTTCTGGGAATAGGACTGCGCAGCAAGAGGTCTTGGGTAAAGGTGAATATATGCTAGTCCAGAGGTCCCCTTAAGGTTGGATGGGTGCTGAGCTGGTTACATGGCTCCCTTCCTCTGGATACTGGTAGTTGAGGGTAATCTGTAGGCTTAATGGCTCATATGGAGAGCCACAAAACGAATGCGAATAGTGTAGTACTTTATAATAAACTTTATTCCAATCAAAATAGTAATCAGGGTACAATGCAGAGTATATGCAGCACTAACCCGTTTTTAAGATGGCTGCCGGGCTTCCATGTGGCTCCGGCGGCAATGACGTCACGGTGTGTTGATTCCTCCTAAGGAGCTGGTTTAACACAACGCCTTTAGCGTTTTGCTAGACATGCCGGTTTTCTAAGGAAGGGAGACACAAAAAAGGACTAGCCTGCTGTATAATTTTTTCTTTTTGATTTTTGGGGTGTCTTTGAATTCAGTCCTCTGTAGGTTGATAATTTTCATTTCCATCAAACGATGGGGCATCTTATGTTCCTAACACATTACCCAGTCCATATCGGTATAAATATCCAGCATGATGTGTTTTCAAAGTGTTCCTTTAATTTTTTTAAGCAGTGTATTTTCTCTGTACCTTGGTCAATTGACAATTTGGTACTACTTATGAAATAAACACTCTATAGCAATGGTATCCAAACTGCTGCTCTCTGCTTGCTTTTATTCGGTCATTGGGGCACTATTTAATTTATCGACACCAATAATGGGGCACAGTTCCTCCCATTGACACCAATAATGGGGCATGGTTCCTTCCAATGACACCAACAATGGAGCACAGTTCCTGCCAATGACACCAATGATGGGGCACAATTCCTCCCAATGATACCAGAGATGGGGCACAATTCCTCCCTATGACACAATGATGGGGCACAATTCCTCCAATGATACCAATGATGAGGCACAGTTCCTTCCAATGACACCAGTTGATGGGTCACAATTCCTCCCAATGACGCCAGTGATGGGGAAAAATCTTCCAACTACATCAACATTGGGGCACAATTCCTCTCAATTACATCAACATTGGGGCACAATTCCTCCCAATTACATCAACATTGAGGCAAAATTCCTTCCAATCACACCAATGATGGGACACTATTTCCTACTAATGACACCAATGATGGGGCACTATTTCTACCAATGACACCAATGATGGGGCCAATGACACCAAGGATGGAGCACAATTCCTCCAATGACACCAAGGATGGGGCATTGTTTACTCAAACTAATGCTGGGACATGTTCTACTCCTGATGGTCACAGTGCACCCCTCTAAAGTCTTAGGGACAGTAAACTGGCCCTTTGTTTAAAATGTTTGGAGACCCCTGCTCTATAGTGACGCATAAACCGAAAACTCAACTGCTAAGGCCTCTACACCTTTCAAATAGAAAGTAAGCCTTTGAGGTATACGGTCTATATTTTGTATACGCAGTCACTCTCACCACTACGTAAGTCTAAACCCTACTTTCTCCACCTATGGGAGCAAATGCTGGACCTTACCTCCAAACTACACAGATTATTTGCTTCACCACAGCCCTTTGTTGGAGATGTTTTAAAAAGAGACTCTACCCCTCACATTTGATGGTCATGCATGGTCAATATTCCAACATACCGGATACCTTGCTTACTGCTCTGCTGCCATGCCTTTGCTGCTGAATATGCTTGCTGTTGCACTGCATACTCCATGCTTTTTCCCGCTGTGCCCTTAAGCATTTGCTCTAGCTGAATTCAGGTTGAGGACTTGATGCCACTCGTATTTCACTATTTCCATTATTCCCATTGGAAATTCATATACGAGGACTTCACATCAGTAAAATATCCCTCTAGGAAATTAGTCGTCAGCAAAAGGAAGAATGAATTCCACAAAATATATGTTTGGGACTAATACATTCATTCCTCCTGAGCCACATACAGTAGCAAGAAAAAGTATGTGAACCCCCTGGGATTACGTGGAGTTTTGCATGAATTGGGCTTAAAATGTGCTCTGAACGTCATCTAAGTCACAACATTAGAAGAACACAGTCTGCCGAACATAATACTACACAAACATTAGATGTTGCCATGGTTTAATTGCACATAACATGTAAACATTCACAGTGCAGGGAGGAAAAACTATGTGAACCTTTGGACTTAATAACTGGTTGACCCTCCTTTGGCAGCAATAACCTCAACCAAATGTTTCCTGTAGTTGCAGATCAGACCTGCACAATGATCTGGATTAATTTTGGACCACTCCTCTTCACAAAACTGTTTCAGTGTAGCAATATTCTTGGGATGTCTGGTATGAATTGCTCTCTTAAGGTCATGCCACAGCATTTCAATCGGGTTAAGGTCAGGACTCTGACTGGGCCACTCCAGAAGGCGTATTCTGTGCTGTTGCAGCCATTGTTTTGTTGAATTACTTGTATGCTTTGGGTCATTGTCCTGTTGCATCACCCATCCTCTGCGGAGCTTCAGTTGGCGCACAGATGGTCGTACGTTTTCCTGCAAAATGTCTTGATAAACTCTGGAATTCATTTTCCCATCAATGACAACAATCCGTCCAGGCCCTGAGGCAGAAAAGCAGCCCCAAACCATGATGCTCCCTCCGCCATGTTTTACAGTGGGGTTGAGGTTTTGATGTTGGTGTGCTGTGCCTTTTTTTCTCCACACATAGTGTTGTGTGTTCTTCCCAAACAACTCAATCTTGGTTTCATCTGTCCACATTATATTTTGCCAGTAGTGCTGTGGAACATCCAGGTGCTCTTTTGCAAACTTCAAACGTGCTGCAATATTCTTTTTGGACAGCAATGGCTTCCTCCGTGGTGTCCTCCCATGTACTCCATTCTTGTTTAATGTTTTCCTTATTGTAGATATGTCAACAAAAATGTTAGCATGTGCCAGAGATTTCTGTAGGTCTTTAGCTGACACTCTAGGATTCTTCTTTACTTCATGCAGCATTCTGCACTGTGCTCTTGCAGTCATTTTTACAGGACGACCACGCCTAGGGAGAGTAGCAATAGTGCTAAACTTTCTCCATTTGTAGACAGTCTGTCTTACCATGGACACATGAACATCAAGGTTTTGGAGATACTTTTGTAACCCTTTCCAGCTTCATGCAAGTCAACAATTCT